CACAAATGTTTTTCAAGCTCCCTCTTTGTGCAGGGCCTTGAGAAAAGATGAAAAATTGGATGAGACAGATGCTTATGGTCTAGTAGGAGAAAGAAACCTATACGTAAATGTCACACTATAAGATACGAACATGTTGATACCAAGAGAGGGGTCCCAGTAATATTAAACCAGGTGTGCATAGCCCTGTTCTTACAGGCCTATCAGCTGAAGCCTCCAGACCATCTCTTTCAGGACAAATCAGGAATTAGGCTGGAGTAAAGTATTTATGGAATGAGAAATGCAGAAACTGTGGAACTTTCATCTCATAACTAAAAGCTTTCTCCTCCAGGGAAAGGAAAAAGATTGGTCTTAAATTTCAGAGTTTCTTCTTTGATAATTTGAAGTATCCAGCTAGGGCCTCAGAAAGGGATTTGTGCAGGCAGACCCACATATGGATATACTACCCACTAAAGCCAGGCTTTCTCTTCCTACCGATAAATTAGACAGCCTGGCTGTCCTGTGGCCCTTATTGTTTGGGAGGTGTTGGGAATCCCATGTGGTTTAATTAGTAGGAATTAACTTGCCATATGCAGAATTTTTTCCTTCCTATACGGACTTGAGATCAACTGTCATCGTAGCAAAAAGAATGAATTCTTCTAAAATTGGAAAGTCGTTTATTTCTTGGCAAATTTTTGGCTTCGTTTAGCAGCCCTGGAGCTCATGGAATATGTCATTTGAGTTATTTAAAATCTAAACCCAAACTTGTAATTCTTTATGGTCTACAACAGCTGCAAAGCAGGAATGAGAAGTGTGGTCTGGTTGGCTCTGACAACAGGGCTCTTGCACAGAAGGCTGAGATGTGCCAGTGATCGCTCTCTGCAAAAACTTGTTCTTTCGTTACAGCAAATTAATCTCAGCCAGTAACATAGCCCTCTAAATAGCAGGAGTCTATATCTACCCTCAGGGTTTTGTACTATGACATTTGCCAGTAGGATGGTGCTTGGAGGGCTTCACTGGAGAATACAGAGGAAGAGAGAAGCTCAGGATACCTTTGCTTTGTAATTTGATGGGCCCAGTGCTTTCATTTCCTGGAGAGATCCCCAAAGAGACCAAATAGTAGGGACAGGCTCTCACTTGTGATTAAAAGGAATTCTTTTTACAAGACTTCTTAGCCTTGTGCTCTCACTTCTTCCCCTTTTGAGAGTTGCTTCATTGAGAGAGGCACAACCACAGTTCTGCCTTGTTTAGTTGCCAGCCCCTATCAAATACTAATGAAAGTTCCCACTTAGTGAGCTTTCCCTATCCGCCAGATGTTGTGTTAAGCTGTTTTATATACATATCTTGTACTTTATATACATTATCTCATTTAATCCTCATGCCAGCTCTGTGCAGTGGGTATTAATACCCCTTCACATTGCAGATAGAAGAACTGAGGGTTGGCGAAGTTAAACAACATACCCTGTGATAGAGCCTGGACTCGAACCCCGGTTTGTCAGATCCAGAGCCAGTGCTCTCACCACTGCACGAGGGTGCCCCATCTCGTTAATAGTAACATCAGCCACCCAGTTGCTCAGGCCAAAAAGTGAATGATCCTTGACTCCTTTCTTTCCGTCGTCCTCACATCCATTGTCTCAACAAGTTCTCTTGACTTTTTCTCCTAAATATGTCCCAAATCTGTCCACTTTTCTCTATCTCCATGACACCAGCTTAGTCCAGTCCTATATCAGCCCTTGCCTGGAACACTATAGCAGCCTCATAAACTGATCTTCTTGCTTCCCTTAGAGTCATTCTCCCCACGGCAGTGGAATGATATTTTAAAAATATAAATTAGCTCATATCACTTCACTGTTTAAATCCCCCAGTGACTGCCCAATTGCATTGAGAACAAAATCTAACCTTTACCACGGCCCACGAAAGGCTATGTGACTGGGCTCCTGCTGCCTCTCTTACCTCATGTCCCCTGTCCTCCTTTCTGTCCCTCATACTCATCAGGCTCATTCCAGCCTTTGAACAGCTGGAATGCACCAAGTGCTGAGAATGCACTTCCCCAGATTTTTCCCTGACTAGCTCCTTTTCCTCATTCAGGTCTCTGCTCAAATATCACCTCCTCAAAAAGGCCTTCTCTGATCACCCTACATAAAGAAGCACTTCTTCAGCCTCACCCCCAGCCATCCCAGTTCCTCAGCTTTATTTTCATCACAGTGCCTCCCCTCTTTGTCTGTCTTATTCAATGTTGTATCCCTGGTGCCTAGAAGAGTCCCTGAAGCAGAGTGGATGCTCAGAGCAGATAATTGCTGAATGAATGGCAAACATACGCTCTTCCCTTTGCCTAGAAAGCTCTGGCCACCCCGTACACTCCTCCCACCCACTTCTCATATTTAACTCTGGAGTATCCTCCAGTTCTGGCTCAAACATCATTTCCTTAGGGAATTTTTTCACGACCCTCTGTTGCATCCTTTCATAACAACCTCTACTTTTCCTGCATGGCCCTCATCACATGTTTGTGTGATTATTTGATGAAAGTCTGTCTCCCCACCTGACTATAGTCTCCATGAGGGCAGAGGGTGGTCTGTCTTGCTCACTGCTTTACTCAGAGTGCCAGCACATCCATTTGTTGAGTGGATGAATGGAGGAGTGAATCACTTGTCTTATATCAACTTGGTCCACACTTGGAATGTGTGTGGCCCAAAGTAATGAGCAAGGAGTTCTTTAGTGCCCATGACTCCGTCAGTAATCGCATCAGTATGTGAAGAGAGACAGACTGTGGGAACAGGAAAAAAACCTTGGGAATATTCCGACCCGGTAACACTGAGCAAGTAGTCCACACTGTACTGCCTCAAATGTCTTTTCAATGCTGCCTTTTGTGTTTTACTTCTTACTACTTACATCCATCCATTGGATATCCACCAGTGAGCATGGAGCCCAGGAACACCCTCAGTCCACTGCACTGATGTCCACTTTTTATCATGATTTCAATAACATTGTTTTTAAAATGAAGCCCACTTGTCTGTCATTGTGAGACATTATCAACAACCCCGGTAGACCTAGGAGGAACATCTAGTTCAAAAATTCAAATCCTGTTTCTGTCACTCAGTGATTTTGAACAAAGCTTTTAACTTCACTTACTGACTTGCTCTCCATATCTCCAAAGGACCAAAAGACTCAGAATCATAGGGATTCAGCTCAACAGTATGATCCCAAAACCCACTGTTGAGCCAGTGGGATCAGGAATCCAACCTATTAACTAATTTAACTTGTTGTTGAAGCTTCGGCTTCGTAGATTCCCTTTCTCACCATTCCCCACTCCCTAAAATACCAGCAACCCTTACAAAGACAACTAAAGCTTAGAAATATTGGTTTCAAAGAAACATAGGTTTCTAAAAATAGCCTAATTCTAAAAATAAACTTAACTCAATTTAAGTTTATAGGGATTTTTTTTTTCCTTATCAGGCAAAGAAGCCAAAGTTCAGAGTGTATAAATTTGAAATGTTTGCTTAGTTGTTAGACCATATTGTTTCTCAGCACGACACCACAAAAATCGTTGTCCTACTAATGATTACCTTGAGCTAATGCATTAATCGTAAGGCTTTCTTCATACACTGAGGCTTTGTCTAGCTACATAATAGCATCCAAGTGTTTTGGCCAAGAAGTAAATAGTTTACATGAATGTAAGCAAAATTTTCTTAAAGCCTAAACCAGACACCAGTGTGGTTTTTGTTTTTTGTGTTTAAGTTTTATTTTTTATTTTTCTAGGTTGTTATTGTTTGTTTGTTTGTTTGTTTTGTTTGGCAATATCCTCATTGATGTCCCAGCACTTGACATTCATATTGTAGTCCATCCGATGTCCCTCTTGGCTTAGAGGTTGGTTCAGGTTGCTCCACTGATGTATGTTAAAATGTCACAAGTACATTTAGAAACTCCCTCTCCACCTGGCTTCTTGTCTTCTTGAGCTATTCCTTGGCCCTTCCCCTCATCCCCAGCACCAGCCAATCCCTTTTATCCTGCTGATCCACTTAGTTTCCTTTCTGCTAGAACTCCCAGCTCCCTGGCATAAACAACATCTTGAGGTCAAATTTGTAAAAAAGTCCAAAAAGCTGCCTTGATTCTATTATTGCACTGGAAATATCATCACCACTGTCTCTTGTATGTATCCTGTGCTGCTTCTAGGGTTTTGCACACTTTATCACATTTGATCCTTCAAGTAGTCCTGTAACTGTATCCTCGTTCAGCAGATGAGGCTGCTGTGGCTTAGAGAAGCGAGCTGATTTGGCCAGCACAGCAGAGTTGGAGCTAAAACCCACATCTCCTGCTTCCAGCTTTCCCACTAGCCTTTGGTCCCACTCAATGATATATTTAGAAAGAGTGTTCATATCAGGAGCTGGAAAGTAATTTTCCTCGAGATTTTGTTGTGGTTGTTATAATGGGACTTATTTGGGAAGGGACTTCTGTCTATCATCTAGAACACATAAGATTAGCTTTATAGTTTTTTCTTGAATTCAAACCCATCTGGCATTTTGATTCATTCATATTTATGGAGCACCTATTACATGCCATGCACTAGAGGCAGGATGGGGAAGAAGACAGCCGTGATCCCTGCCATCATGGAATCTAGTGGGGAGAAGACAAATAAATGGGCAATTGTAGTATTTTAATAACTGCCTGGGTAGGGGACATTCTGGGTGAGGTAGGAACATGTGGCAGGGACATCTAACCCAAACTTGGCAGACAGGGAAGGCTTCCCAGAAGAAGGAACTTCTCACTCATTTGAAGACTGAAGGATGAGTGAGAGTTTTAGCCAGATTGTGATTGGAGTGGGATGGGCAATAAGTTTTCAGGAAGAGAGAAAAGCATTGTGAAGGCGTGGAGGTGAAATTGTGGTCCGTGTTGTCTCCATTCTTGTTTATTAGATCAAATTTCATGATTTAGCTGTTGGAGAGACTTGGAAAAAGCAGAAGATCAATGGAGAAAGCTATTGAATATACTCAGAAAATACCTATCTCTTTCTTGTGTCTTCTTCACAGAAAAAACTCGAGTCTCCTCCCCCGTCCACCAATCCCTTCCTGGAAGATGAGACAGCACCAGAGTTGGAGGAACTGGCGACGGAGAAAGGAGATTTAGATCAAGTAAGTCTGGTTTGCATTTCCACGTGCAGCCCACCTAATGTTTGTTTCTGAAAATGGGTCTGCTCGCTCTAAATATGATCCTCTGGCTGTTGACCACATTCAGAGATGACAACTTTGGTGGTCTTTATAGAAAGCCTTTATCTGAAAGTGCATTTAGAAAACTGAGTGAAAGAGCAGCCCTTCCTGCCCCACGTCTTGCTCCTGAAGATCCTCACCACCAGAATTAGCAATACGCACAAGCTTACTTAGCCCAGTGGTGGGGCAGCAGAATTCTTCCCTGCCTCATTCATCATCTCCTGCACTTGTCAGCTTAGCTTTCGGTTGTGCTCTCATCTGGTCCTGTGATGACGTGAGAGGCTGAAAGATCTCTACTGAAGTTAGCAGCACCATTGGCTAGGAGAGGCCTCCATCACTGTAAGCCGATCACTTTAGGTCTGGAAGCCATTGGAGAGGCCTGGAAACATCAAGGTGACCAGTGGCATATTTGGAGAGTTACTTTTCAGAGCACACTAGCACTTTCATTTCCTTTGGATTTTTCTGTCCAACTCTAAATTTCCTCTCTCTTCATCTTACAGAATGATGTTTTTGTTTCACTGCCATTATATGACAAGAGAGGTTAGAGCAGTAAATCAGAACTTTTCCTGTCTGGATTAGTGATCTTTCTTTTTAATTTTCCACACTTGGCTGCTAGAGGATTATTTTATAGTATTATTTTGCTCCAGACACCCGCAAAAGGGAGGTTGGCTGGGAAGACCAGCTCTGGGAAACCCTTAGCCATGCACTTCACAGCTAACCCTGCATTCCTAGCATCTTGAGGATAGGTGTACAATCCTGGCAGGAGCCACGAGAGCAGAATTTCCAGGAGCAGTTCTGAAGCGATGCAATAAAATGTGTCTGGTCCATTGATTGAAGAACTCTAATAACATGGGTACTTCACACTTTTATGGTGCTTTATAATTTAAAAGTCTTTTACATGCTTTATTTCATTTCATCTTCACAATGCCTGCCTCTCATTTTATAGGCTTTTATGTAAGCTGCAATGCCTGCAGCTCAGAGAGGTTAAGTGATTTACCCAGGGTTACCTAGTTTGGAAGTGGAGGAGCTGGGACTGGAAGCCAGGTCTAGAAGTCAGAGACTTGAATTCCTCTCCTGGTGCTCTTTTTATTACACCGTGATGTCTCAGTGCAAAGGGGAGAACATAGAAATGACTCCCATGAATAAAAGTGAATGAATAAAACTGAAGGGATACCTTGAGGCTGTATCCCAGAGATCTATGGGATTAGATATGATGGATATAAAACTGTCATAGCAGCTAGCATGGGAGAAAACAGAAGATTTCTTCTAACTAAAGAAATGCATCTCTCACGTTTTGGGAGGAGGGACTGCGAGTCCCTCCCTTTGGGAGTCTGGATGTAGGGCTCATTCTTCAGGTGTATCCTCCCCCCACACTTGGTCACCTGCACCCTTTGAGCTTGCTTTGTGTAGTAGTGCCATTTGCAGGACCCTCATGTCTCCCCAAGGTTAGTGACTGCCATCATCATGTCCAGAATTGTGTACTTGAAAACTCAGGTGCTTTGTAGTGCTGCCATGAAAAGTTATCCCTTTAGCTAGTCATCTCTGGATGTTGTTAAACTGGATTATGATAGAGTCCCCCATTATCTCCAAAACAGTTTTGCTAGGTAAAGTATGATTTTTCTTTCTCATGGAACTTTTTGCTCATCCTGGAAGCTTGAGGCTATTGTAAGGACCCAGATCTGCTCATTCTAAGGAGACAGAACAGAGATACACGGGGTAAAGCAGAGTCATGTGGTGGGGACAGTGCCAGCCTCTGGTCTGCCATTAACTGACCATGTGACCTTAGGTAGGTTTTTATTCTCTCTAGACTTCCCTAGTTTCTTCATCTTTAGAGAGAGCTAATGGTTTTCAAATTGTATTCCTTGATGTTCCATCAGATGTCACTGTGGGGAGTTGGGAGGAGACCAGGGCCCTAGTCCCTCTAAACAGAGCAGTTTTATTTTGAGTCACTTTTATCATGAACTTTCAGGTAAAATTTCTTTTGATCCAGGGGTTTTAGGTCTGTTTAAAAAGAAAGTACTGAAAACCCCTGGACTAGATGACCCCCTGCAATTTCATGGGCTGTTACTTGCTAATAATAAAACTTATACACCAGTGACTAATGCCTCCTCACACACCATCCCTGACCTCCCACTGCCTCACCAACAGTTGTCTTGCTTGCGTTGGGAGCTTGCTTGTGCTTAGGCCGGGGCTCCAGGATCTCTTTTTTCCCAGCCACTTAATGGCTTCTGGAGTTGGGTGCACAGGAAGAGCGGGAGCCCTGGGGCGTTGGGGAGGAAGTCCACAGGATGTTGTTGATGAACTCAGCCAGAGATGGTGGGGAAAGGCCTCTAGCGGTTGTCCTGGGTTACCCAACCCATTGTGTCACTACAATCAGTAGACAGTTGGCCCTCAAGGTAAGGTCACTCCCTGCTCACTACTGCGATAGTAGTATTAGGATATTGAGAAGGGAGAGTGCACTTGAAAAGAGGCATTTAGTTTGAACAAACAGTTGCCAAGATACTCCCAATGATAAAAAATGGCGCCTGAAAGGAGACTGAGGATACTCAAAGTATAAAAGAAAGAGGGAGAAGAAATAAAGAATTTCTGGTTTAAAAATGTACCCTTCTGGTGATTCGAGCAGTTAGATTTAATCTGTTTACATTGGATAGTAATAAAAGGAAATGGGACCAGCTGCAGACCTCCTTACTGTGACAACAGTAACCTTTTATTATTCCATCAAACTCCAGGAGGAAATAGCTTAAACATCTGCAGCTTTTGGACAGAATTCACACACTCAGAAATCCAGCCTAAATGCTACTGCTAAATGACTTAGTATATTCTTTAAGCCGAGAATCGACCCTTCGGGGAGCTAGACAGTGCAAAGGGAGACAGCAGTGTGAGCTGCAATTCCAGGACCTATTATCTAAATATGAGCACATTTATAAAGCAGGAAAAAAAGGAAACTTCAGGCAATCCCTCCCATTGTTCCCCTCTTGCTTCTAACTCACACTAAAAACGCTGCAAGAGGACCGAGAGCTGTGGTGACAGTCTCTCCCCACTGCCAGGAGTGGCATTAGTGGGCAGAGGCTTAGTAGAGCAGAGTCACCTGCGGGGAGGGTTGGGACGCCGCACTGTCTGATTGTGCAGCCCTCTGAGTGCCTAATTCAGAGTGTTCTCTGGGGCCTCATCAAGCACAGGGCCTGTGGGAGGCTGGTCGAGATGAGTTTGTTGGAATATCATGTAGCCATTTTCTTTTATCCCTTTCTTTTATCCCTTTATACTGAGTGAGCTCTTCAGGCTTATCCAGACATGGATTTTTATCATATATCACTTTTGTGCCTACATAAAAAAGGAAAATATAAGCAAAATAAATAAATTAAGATATTCTTAAAATTTCTTCACATTCAGAGTCTAACTCTCCTGAACCACTTTTTAAAAAACTTTTTATTTTGAAATAATTATAGACTCATAAGAAATTATAGAGTATAGAGAGGTCCTGTGTACCCATCTCCCAGCTTCCCCCAGGGGTGACAGCTAACATAACTATAGTGCATTATCAAAACCAGGAAATTGATTCTAACCCCCTTTTTACTCAGGCGTGGATGTCTCTGTTTTCCCACTCGGTATCGTCCTCTGGGCCCTCCAAAGTGTTGGCGATGTGCCATTTCCTAAGAGTGCTCTACCACTGGATCAGGGATTATCTCCAGGCCATTGGCACCCATCTCCCACATTTCCTTTTTTTTTCTTCTTTTTTTTTTAAATAATGTCAAACCTAGAGAAAAGTTTTAAGAATATTACAAGGAACTCTGAAATATCCTTCACCTGGGTTCACCAATTGTTAACATTTTGCTGCCTTTACTTTACCATTTCCTCCCCTCTCCTCCTCCCTCTCTCACTCCCTCTCCCCATTCATCCTTCCCTCTCTCTCTCTCTCTCCCCTTCCCTCTCTCTCCTTCCGTCCCTCTCTGTCTCTCTCAGAACAACTTGTAAGTTTGCAGATATCATACCTTTTACCTCTAAATATTTCAGTATGTGTGTCCTAAGAAGAAGGACATTCACTTAAGTTACCACAGATCAAAATCAGAAAATGTAGCATCAGGGGACCGGCCCGTGGCTTAGCTTGGTTAAGTGCGCGCGCTCTGCTACTGGCGGCCCAGGTTTGGATCCAGGGCGCGCACCGTCGCACCGCTTGTCTGGCCATGCTGAGGCCACGTCCCACATACAGCAACTAAGAATGTGCAACTATGACATACAACTATCTACTGGGGCTTTGGGGAGAAAAAGGGAAAAAAAGGAGGAGGATTGGCAACGGATACTAGCTCAGGGCCAGTCTCTCTCAGCAAAAAGAGGAGGATTGGCATGGATGTTAGCTCAGGGCTGATCTTGCTCACAAAAAAAAAGAAGAAAAGAAAATTTAACATCAGTACAGTACTATTATCTAATCTATAGGCTTTATTTAAATTTTGTAACGTAACCATTCTAAAGTGAAATTAAAACATTGTCAATAATTGGAAAAGTGCACATAAATTAGAAAGTAAATAAAGCCAAATATAAAATATACATATTGATTTAAAACATTCTATATTATATAAACTCCCATTTATAATTGCCAAAAGCTATCCTGCAGACGTGAATATTTTCGTCAAGGAAATATAAATAAAGGGAATTATTGTCATACTTATGATGATTATATTTTAATTAATAAAAAGATATTTGGGTATAGTGGCCGTATTTTCCAATTCTAAAATCAGGATATCTAGTCTTACAAAAGTTAGACAAATTAAATCACGTTTGGCTATTCATTTAACAAATCACCTTATTGAAAAGAATAAAATAACAAAAAATAGATAACTGACTTGGAAAACATAAAACAAATAGGTAAAGACCACCCCCCCACAACCATTATACTCCGTCATGCATCCTCCATTTTAAACTAAGGGAAGTGTGGAAAAACTCCTGGGGCAACTATGAAATGAAATGGAGCTTTGAATCCAGCCAATTCAAGCTCAGCGAAGCCGGTCCTGGGTATCGGTTGTAGTCTCAGCCTAAGGCCTGACTTTGACAGTGGCTTCTGGATCATAAGTGAAAATAGCCCAGATTGTAGTTATTCTTAGGGAAGGACCAGAGTTTCTAGAAATCTTGCAAAAAAAATTAAAGACGTGGAACTCTTAGAAGGTGAAAAGGGAAGAGAACTAAATATGAGATTGAATAGGATATGTCTACGGTAGACATGTAATTTTTGATGATTATTATCAGTTTTTACAGATGCTTTTAACAATTATAATGTTTTATTTTTAAAAATTCCTGGAAGAAGGTAATCATTATTTCTGTCTGTCATTATGGGCTTACTTTTCCTGTAAATATTAAAAGATATGAGCAGTTCAGTTCAACAAGTATGCTGTGGGTGCCAATTTATACCCAAATTGTACTCTAGTATCAACCCGAGCAAGGGCTCCGTGTCCTTTTCTTGGCATTTGACAATAGATAGAATTGACTTTTTTTAGGAATAGGAAGTAATATGTAGGAAGATCCTTGTTTATTTTTTAGATGTTTTGAAAAGAAATTAAGTAGCAAATACAGTTTTAAATGCTTGCCTACTTAGATTGACCTCTATATTAGTGGTTTCCAAGTATCAGTTTGGGACTAGTGCTGGTCCAGTTTTCCATTGGTCCACAGCAAAAAATAAAGACAAAGCAGTCTGTCTGCCTGACTATCTGTCTGGTATAAGATCACCAACTGTCTTTTCTTAGGAAGGACTGTGTTTATGCTGCTGTTTTCTCCTTATAAAATGTTTGGGTATAAAATATTCTTTCTTTTAGGAGCTTCTGGTGAGAATAGAAAGTAGCAATATAAAAATTTAGCAACCCTACGTTGGCCCCCACCCTTCTTTTCCTTACATTTGCTTGTTGATGAAGTTCAGCAGTCGAGGAACCTTTGCAGGAAAGCAGTGATATAATAGAAAGGGTTCTAGTTTAGGGGATAGGAAACCTCACCATGTGCCTTTAGGCAGGCTGCTAGAACCTTCTGAGTCTCCCTTTCTTCAGGTATATAATAGTAGTAATTCCTACATTGAGGGTTGTGAGGAATAGATGATATGTTAATTCATATCAAAGTATTTGGCACATAATAGCAATCAGTAAATGGAGGCTTTCAAAATTAGATCACGTGAAAGCACTTTATTATAAATTCTAAAGTACTGTACAAATGTAAGGTGCTGTTATTAGCTAGGATTTACATTTTTTAAACATCAGTCAGATGATGAATAGCTTCCAGATTGAAAACGCATGTGTTATCAAAGTAGTAATAAATCTTTCACCATACAAAGCAAGTAAATGATGCTAACAAAGCTGGCTTATTGTTCACAAACTGGCATGAATCATAGTGCAGGACACAGTCCCAGTTTGGTTACATTGAATGCTTCTTATCTATAGGTGAGGAGTGAACTTTGAAGGGATGTTTTCTTTGAAACTGCTTGAAAATTTGCAAAGATGGTTCAAATAAAGGATTTCTTTTTTCTTTTTTTTTCTTTACAGCCAAAGAAGCCTAAAGCCCCAGACAATCCATTTCATGGCATTGTTTCAAAGTGTTTTGAGCCTCATCTCTACGTATATATTGAGTCCCAGGACAAGTGAGTGATGAACATTTGCTGTTTTCTGCATTTCTCCCTCCCCTGGTCATGGTTGGGCCTCATAAGGGCACAACTCCTACCAGAGGCTCAACGAGGGACTTGGCTTCCAGTCTGTGACTCTCCCTGGAAACCTATTGAGGATATATTTATATCTTTTGAATGTTATCATTTATTGTGTCTATAAATCTCAGAAACCTGACTTTGACTCTAATAAGGTCCCAAACAGATCGCAACACCCCCTTCCCATGTGGGCACTGACCCCTTATATAGCTATGTATGTCAGCCCACAAGGCTTTACAGCGTCAGGCACTGGAAAATGGAGAAAGAAAGCCTAATCTGTGATGTATATGTTTTCAAGTATAATTTGTTTAACTTTTCATTTTGAAATTTAGACTTACAAAAAAGTTATAAAAAATTCTCATATACCCTTTCCCCAGAGAGTGTTAACATTTTATATAATGGCAGTTATCAAAATCAGAAGGTAACATTGTCTATGAATGTCCTTTCTCTGGTCCAAGAGCCAGTCATACATTTAGTTGTCAGATCTCTTTAGTCTCCTTTAATCTTGAATAGTTCCTCAGTCTTTTCTTTGTCTTTCACGACCTTGACACTTTTAAAGAGTATTGACGAGTTACGTTGTACAATGCCCTCAATTTCAGTTTGTCTGGTGTTTCCTCTTGATTAAGTCCAGATTATGCATTTGGGGCCAGAATACCATAGAGGTGATGTTGTGTCCTCAGTACATCATATCAGGAGGCACATCATGTGGATTTGTCCCATTACTGGTGAGGTTGACTTTGATCACTTGCTTAAGGTAGTGTCTGCCCGCTTTCTCCACGGGGAAGCTACTGTTTTTCTCTTTGAAATTAATAAGTATCTTGTGAGGGGGTACTTTGGGACTATGTAAATATCTGTTTCTCATCACACTTTGCCCACTCGTTTTGACATCCCTTGATGATTCCTGCCTAAAGTAATTATTACTGTAGTGTTTGCGAAATGTTGATTGTCTGTTTCCATCACTTCTTCTACATTTACTAATTGGAGTTCTACTATAAGGAAGAGCTTCCGCTTCGCCCCCATTTGTTTGTTGGTTTATTTATGTCGGTATGGACCTATGGGTTATTTTCTTCTATGGATTATTATCCATTTAATATATGCTTTTAACAAACTCAGAGGCTCCAGAAAATTTTTACAAAGCAGCCCCCTGCAAACAAGTTTCCTCACAGCCAGAAGGGTATGTTCATGTTCCAGTGTCCATTGTTTATGCAAAGGAAGAAGACACCTCCCCATCCCTGAATCTCTGTCCACAGCCGGGGTAACTGTGGAAGGCCCTTCCATGCTGGAAGACAGATTTCAGAAAGGTTGGGTTTCTGGAACAGGCTGAGCTGACTGGAGACAGGCTGGCCTGGGCGCCTAGAGGAGGCCTCATAGCCTCAAGAACGCACTTATGAGAACGAGACTCACAGGGGGAGAACAGCAGCGGCTACGAGAAAGTTCTCAAAGGGAGTTCCCTGGGAAAGCAATTAGGTGCTGAAATCTAGTTATTTATTTTTTTTAATGCTCCTGTCATGGGTTAGCAAATTCTTGTTTCCAAACATGTTTCAGGGGTAAACCGTAAGATTAAGAAAATATTTCCAGTGGAATCACTACATGGAACATTATTATCCACCTATTTGATTTTATAGATGGCTTCTTTTTTCTTCCCCAATTACAAAATGCTTCATATTAAAATCCCAGAAAATGAAGTTTGTAAAAGAGCTTCTACGTTAACAAAAACAACCTCTTCGCTGCTCCACTCACCCCCAGAAAAAGTTGCCTTGACGTTTTTTGCCTTGTAAAGCCACAGTTTTCCTCCTGCTCTCTATCTTTTGGGCTGTGTCCGCAGGCACACAGAGGGGCAGTAGTTACTATTGCCACTTAGTCTTTTGAAAGCACCCTGTCTTCTGCATTCAAAAAGTTTTCTCTCAAGAAGTTAATAAGACACCCCTGAGGGGCAGGAAAAAGGATCAGTTATTTGCCTGTTAGATTCACACGGGTCTTAGAACAGCCACCTGGATGACTACTTTTGGACATAGCCCCTTCTTCTCTTATCAACCCAAATTCTTATTTTTGAAAAGGCCTAAAAGCTATTGGGTCCAAAGTTTAAAGTGCATGTCTGAGATAACCATGTACTTTCCCAAACCCTATCTAGTCTGAAGAGTCATTTTTCTGAATTATTGTAATTCTGGTATCTACTCTTTTCACATGGACTTGATTCATATGAAGTATTCTCATTGTTCATGATACTTTGGGCAAAGAGCCAGACCTCCCTTCCTTAGGGACTCTCCATTTCTCTATGAAAAATGAAGTGCTGGCCACTCATCCTGCCGTTTGGCCTCACTAGGCTGTTTCCACAGCACTATGGAAGGAGCGGAAACTACTCGGAGGAGAGCTGCGTAGGTTGTGCCGTTGTCACTCCAGAATAAGCAGCAAAACCTTGAAGTAGAAAATAGAGTTCAAGGAATCCATTTCCTCATCTGTAGGAGAGAATCAGACAAAATAACGCCTGAAGCAGTGGTTATTAACCTTATTTGAGTCATAGATCCCTTTGAGAACCTAATGAAAGCCTTAGACCCTCTTGCCAAAAAAAATCCATATAAACCCACACACTATTTAAGTATAACTTCAGGGGGTTCTACAAAGCCCTTCCTCCCTTAAGTCCTAAGGCTGAGGAAGAAACTCAGGTGGGGACTGATTTTGTACAAATTATTACACTTGTTGTAGCTCTGACTCAAAAAATCTGCAAGGGAGGAAAATCTTAGACCATTCACAAACTCCCAGATGACAGAGACCCAACATAGTGTAGTGGAAAGAGCGTGGGCCTGGATGCCAGACAGACCTGGATTTGAGTCACAGCTCTGCAGTCACCAGCCTGGGACCTCGAGCAGGGTACTTAACTTCTCTGAGTTTGCTTTATCCTCTCTACAGTGAAGTTCATAATGCGCCCCTCACAGGATTAGTGGTGAGGATGAAAAGAGATGATGTGTTGGCACTTGGCACAAGTAAACAGTGCTCAGGAACTCTGCCTGCCCTGCCCTCCCTATGATCTTGTTCCCGACTCAGGCGTTTGGGTGGCCTGATCAGTGTGACCAGCTTTCTGTTGGTCCTGGTATGGGGTTGACCCTCTCATCTCCCCAGCCTCCCACCCTCTCATCTCCCCAGGGAAAGTTCTGGTAGCACCTGACCCAGCCAAAAGCCAAATAGCGGTAGGAGGACTGCAGTACCCAGGGAGGAGGCAGGAAGTGAAGATGTCCCTGAAGCCACCTCTTTAGTAGGTCGGGCTAAGCTGTCCTTGCGTGCTTTAAGCGGCTTTCTCAATTTTTATGTTCTAGGAGGAAGTTAGCATATCTTCTCCTCTTGGGAATGTAGTGATTTTCTGTGGCTGACTCTTACAGAAGAGATGTCTCTACATCGGCGCTTTCTTTACTCCATTGGGTGACATTCTCAGTCAGAGAAATTATTAGTGACTCCATTTCTGCCCATTCTCCTTGAGTTCCCTATAATAACTTTTGTTGAAGTAGAACCCCCCTCCCAGCTCCGTCAAGTCTAGAGTCTCTCTGTAAACTAATTTCGTTTGTTGTTTATTTTGAATTACTTTCAAACTTTTGGAAGAGTTACAAGAATTGTACATAGAGCTCCTGTATATCCTTCACTCAGACTCCTCAGTTAACAGTTATCTCTCTCTCCTCTCTCACATATACACTCACATATATATGCACATAAACATTTTTTCTGAGCGATTTGAATTTTTAAATCACAGGCAAGATGCCCCATTACTCCTTAATACTACTTCAATGTGTTTCTTATAAATAAGGACACAATCTACTTAACCACAATTTGTTGTGGGTGCCATCGAGTCGATTGCGACTCTTAGTGACTCTGTGTACAGCAGAGGGGAACCCTGCCTGATCTTTTTGTGCCATCCTCTCACCTTCTGGTGATATATCAGACAATGCTCCGCTGCTATTAATAGGGTTTTCATGGCCAGTTTTTTCAGAAGTGAGTGGCCAGGTCCTTCTTCCTAGTCTGTCTTAGTCTGGAAGCTCTGCCGAAATCTGTCCACCATGGGTAAGCCTGCTGGTATTTGAAATACGGATGGCATAGCTTTCAGCATCATAGCAATATACAGCCGCCACAGTATGACAACTGACAGACGGGTGGTGTGGTTCCCTGACTTGGAAACAAACCTGGGCCCCGGCGGTATGAGTGCCGAATCTTAACCACTAGACCACCAGGGCTGGCTCATAACCACAGTGCAACCATCAAAACCAGGAAATTAACATTGATACAATATTACCATTTAATCCATAGACCCTATTCTATCTTACCAGTTTATCCCAATCATCCTTTTTATAGATCCAGAATCCATTCCAGGTTGCATTTATTTGTCATACTCTTTGATCTCCTTCAATCCAGACGAATGACTCATTCTTGCTGTATCTTTCATGACCTTGAAATTTTGCAGAGTACAGGCCAGTCACTTTGTGGAATGTCCCTCAGTCCAGATTTGACTGCTGTTTCCTCATGATTTATGCAGAAGTGGTGCTGTGTTCTTGTCAGTAATTCATACCAGGAGGCACACAGTGTCAGTTTGTCCCACAGCTTGTGGAGTTCATTTTTATTACTCAATTTAGACAGTGTCTGCTAGGTTTCTCTATTTATTAATAAGTAACTAATAAGTGTTGGGAGAAACCTTGAAACCATATAAATAGCCAATAGCCTTTTTCTCATCTTTTGCCTACTTATTTTACCACCCAATGATGATACTTGCCTGGATCATTTATTACTAAGATAGTTGCCAAATGACGATTTTTCTGATTCCATCATTTCTTCTGCATTTATTAGTTGGCATTATATTTTATGAAAAAGCTTTCTCTTGTTCCTATTTGTTTATATCACCATGGACTTGTGGATTCCTGTTTTATTCAATGGATTAAAGCCATTACTATCTTTTTTTTTTAGCTTTATGTTGGAATAAATTTAGGCCTATAGAAAAATTCCAAAAATAGTATAGATTTCCCATATTCTCTTCTCCCACATTCCCCTAATGTTAACTTCTTACGTAACCATAGTGCAATTATCAAACCAGCAAGTTAACCTTGGTGCAATACTCTTTGGTAAACTCTAGACCTTGTTTGGATTTCACCAGTTTCTCCACCAATGTCTTTTCTCTTCCAGGATCCATCATTATTTATTTTAATGCTCAAATTGTCCCTAATTTGGCCATTGGAACCCCTTTAAGCTGGTTTTTTCATCCTTTTTGCATGCCCCTATCATTTTTTGAGCACTTCCTTTCTGGCACAACAAAATATGCCAGACTCATCTTGTACTTTCCTACCTCAGCCCTGGAGTCATCCATTTTTCCAGGATCCCTTGATACTAAGTTCTCAGCATCCAGTATGTTTGTTACTGCTTGAGTGTCATACTTGTAGGTCCTCTCAGCTGAGAGAGCTAAGAAATATTTACTATATCTACTTTTATACCTGTTTATATATTAAAACCTGTGAGTTTATGCTGATACTTCCAATTCTAATTTAATACCATGGGGTTTGTATTAGCCTCCCCCTTTCCATGTCTGTAACTACTTTCTACAGCAGTGAGAAACTTGGCTCCCAGTATCCTCCATGTATTTAGTTATTTGCTCCGTTTACCTGTGTGTAACCCATCTCCCAGTTGTGCTCAAGCCAAACCTGGGCTCCCCAACCCCACTGGCCACACCAGAGCCAAATCCTTGGCCCCAACCAAAGGGAGGGGAAGGGATGCAAATTAGTTTGAGTACCCTTGAATTAACAATTTTCTGTAACTTCCTGGGGATCTTAAGCAGCTTTGCCCACGTTCACCTCCTTGCCAACTTTTTCTGACTACCGTCTTCCTCTCCCAGCGCCATCACTACTTTACTTGCCAATTAGAATACTGTTTCTATGAATGCAGACTGCAGAGCCACCAGAAGAAACTGCCTTGGTCATTCATAGATAAGCTTCGTTTGCAGTGTGGTTTTTCTTCTCTTCATGTTTTTATCTTTCCATCTACTGATACCACTCTGCAATAGTCTTTATTCTTATGTTATTTTATCAGTGGGACTCCCAGCAGTATTTCACAGGGCCCTGTGAAATGCTTATACAGTTCTTGGGCAAAAACCTCAGGCTACAGGGAAGAGGGTAAAAGACACCATCCACATCCATGACATGTTTCTTTAAGCTGGAGAGAAAGTAAATAAAAGCAATAATCGTAATATCATATATCTGTATAGTGCTTTACAGTTTTGAAATCAAAGCATGGTATAGTGGATAGAGCTGGGCTTCAGAGTCAGTCAGACCCAAGTTCAAATTCCACCTCCAATAAATTCTATGACCTAGGGCAAATTGTATTCTTCTTCTTAGCCTCAGTTTCTTCATTTATAAAATGGGGCTAATAATGCCTTCTACTCAGGGCTATTGTGAGGATTAAACGAGATTGTAGTTATAATGCACCCAGCACAGTGTCTAGTTTATAAGCTTATATCCTAGTGGGAAAGATAGACCAAAAAAAATTGTCGTACACAGCGTGAGGGGATAAAGTTATGAATATTTACTGTGGGAATACAGAGGAATGTATGAATCAAACTGCAGCTCAAACTTTTCTCAGTTTGTATCTTCCACTTCAGCCAAACCACTCCCCTCCTTCTCATCCTCTCTTCTTCACACTGTGTCCTGTGCTCACTTCTGACTCCCTGCCTTTATTCTTTCACCTGTATCTGCTGTGAAATTTTCTTTCTAGTTTCCTCTATTATTTCCTTTGTCTAAAACAAATTGTTAATATTGTCTGTACTGAAAAATTAGCATTTTATTGCTGTCTTGAAATCTAAATATCAAAACTTGTAATGCTTCTAATGCTGTGTCTTAGCCCCTACAGCACCTTGATCAGGATTTGGCCGTTTATGAACTCATTCTTGATTGTAATTGCTTTAGGGTATAAAAGGCGCCTCCTTGTGATTCCAGTCAACAGGTCAATATGCCACACATCCCTTTCTCCTTTAGTTCTATAAGAAGATCTTGCCAAATCTCAGGGTGGTGTTTGGTGCCTGGAAGAAATGATAACCTTTGCTTTTTTTTAGTTGAATTGATTTATATCTTATACTTGCGGCCCACAGAGCAGTGCACATACTCAGTGCTCAGTCAGTAGTTGGTTGGATTGATCATCCGTACAAACTAAGAACCTTACCCATTCCTGTCGGAGTAACTTTTACTCTTCTATTCTGTGAAATGTTGATTACTCGTTTTCTAATGTCTTGTATGGCGTAGAAGCATGCTGATGCAAAGAGTGGAAGGTGAAAGGGAGGGGAAGGTTACTCTGACTGGTTTATTTCTCATACGCACCAGGGAACAACGTCAAAAGTAACCTGGTAGACATTCTGCAAAATATGGAAGATCTTTGGAGTTTGTTTTTTAAGTGGAAATTTTCTTTATGTTCTATGATCATAATTAATTTATAACCTTACTCATCGGGTTGGCTCTGAAACAGGAGGTAGGTGAGTAAGCATCCTGACTTCAGCTTCTAGTGGATTTAGGTGAGTGGTTAAAGTAAAAACACTGCAGAGCTCTCGCCCCTGTTTTGGTTGGCACTATAGATTTGGAGATTAGAATCTCTTACAAGAATACTCAAGTGGAAGCTTTTGCCTTCTGTTACATGCTGTCCTCCACTGCACCAGCCCCTGTCCCCCGTCCACCTCCCACCCGTCCATTCCCATCCCTTAGGAACAAAGTGTGGAGGTAGATCAGCTGGGTGTGTACATATTTGGCACCGACGTATTTGGGAGATTAGCTTCACCATGAGCGTGAGGGGTGGGCCTAGGCGGAGCAGAAGTAACATAAACATTATCCCAACTCGCAAGGATCTTAGGATAACATACCTGAAACAGAGAAGATTCTACTGCTATATAGCAAGCAGCTTTCACCTTTTTGTACCAACTTCACCTTATTAGAAGTGACTGGCTAGAGTGCTGTCTCAAGAAGGCTTCTGAAATTACACCAAAGATCAGTGAAAAAGAGAGCCATTATTGATGAGCATTGCCTGCTGTGAGCCCAAGGGTGAGAGAAGGGCAGACGTTTCTTGAATATTTGACATCCTGACATTGTATAGAAAAGTGTTAAAAACGTAAAGTGTCAGTGTGTTACAGATGACAGAAGTTGCAATTGAGCCAGAGGATTGATGTGAGTAGGAGTTGTCTGGGTGCTCCCTGAGCTGAGCTTGAAGGATGAGTAGAGAGGGGCAGGAGAGCATCTCGGCCAGGGGTGGCATCTGGGCAAAGGCACAGAGTCGGGGGTAGAGGTGGAGCAGGGGGCTGTTGAGGTGAGTCTGGTGGGAGAGTAGGGTCACTGTGGAGGAGAGGTGGGAGGTTAAATGGAAAGGCAAGCCAGGAGAGGCCATAAGGAATGGGGGTGGTGACCCTGGAGCTTTCCAAGGTCAACTGATGAGTTCCTTCTTTGCTGACCATCACCACAGACTCTAGCCTAGGCCTGAAGTTCTTTGAAGTTCTTTGAAGGCAGAGTGGCTACATCTGGATATAATAAACTTCCAATAACAAAAGCTCTTGAGTAAAATGTCAATTTTCTCCTATTCCTGCTAATTGATGCTATGTGTGGTTCTTGTCTTTTTCTTCTTGACTGTTGTATAAATACATTTTAAAAGCACAGCTGGATTCCTGTAGCCTCAGACAGCAACCTAAAAAGATGCAAAATGTCTGGAGAGGTGGAGATCCCTTCCATTTCTCATACAGCACAACGGTGTGGGGAACAATTAATACAGTCCCACCGGGTCCTAACTAGTGATGACTCAGTGTGACTGAGGCAAATTCAGTGATGTTTGAATGGGGAATGGGAAACAAATTGCAACCATCATCACCACTGTGACCTGGGGCAAGCCTGGAGCTGTTCATGCCCTCTCTTCTCCCAAGATTTTTTACGCCTTTGATTCTGGAAGTTTTAAGAGAAAACTACATTAAAAGAGAAAGAAAGCATTAGAATATTTCTTTACAGTTTCTCTTTGTTTAGGCATCTATCTTATGGGCACACTTAGATTAATGATATCTAAATATTTGCTGACATCATAACCTTCCTGTGTTTTTAGGAGGCAGTAGGGTAGAGTGGTTAAAAGCATGAGGTTTGGAGCCAGGCTGCTTGGTTTTGAATCCTGGCTCCCACATTTTCTTGCTATATGACCTTGGACAAGGTCCTTAACTTTTCTGCACCTTGCTTTTTGAAAATGAGGGTAGTACCTACTTCATAAGGTTATTTTGAAGATTAAGTGAAGTTCAATGAAATGACGCTTATAAAGCGCCAACGTAGTACCTGGTACATCATAAGTGTTCAGAAAATGATCACTATCATTATTTAGGATTTTCATTTGTGGAAAGGGGAGATGGTACTAATATGGTAGTAGGACTAGTGCACAGACTTAAAAGGTGGATTCTAGGCTCTGCTCTGCCACTAAATTGTGTGACAAACTTTCTGGGCCTTAATATTTTTTATCTCTTAGAGGGTCCAGTAATGCCTTATCGCCCTCACAGGGGCTTGGGGTCAAATGTGATCATGAAATGCCTTGAAAAGTATAAAGCAGCACACAAATGCCAGATTTTATTGCTGCTGTTATTATAGGAGTGGTGGTGGTGGTTAATGATGGTATTGATAAAAATGGGTCCAATTTTAAATGTAAAAAGCATTAGGAATGAGTTACTCATGGCAGTGAAGCACATTTGCTTTATCTTTCTTGAAATAAAATAACATTTCAGGTTTTCTTCCTCCTAGAAATCTTGGAGAGCTGATAGATCGGTTTGTGGCCGACTTCAAAGCGCAGGGGCCACCTAAGCCCAACACTGATGAGGGGGGTGCTGTGCTTCCCAGCTGTGCTGACCTCTTTGTCTACTATAAGAAGTGCATGGTGCAGTGCTCTCAGCTCAGTACGGGGGAGCCAATGATCGCTCTGACCACCATTTTCCAGAAGTACCTCCGAGAATACGCCTGGAAAATCCTCTCTGGCAACCTGCCCAAGTGAGTCCTGTTCTTCCTGGTCTGAGTGGTGAAGTGAGTGGTGAAGTGAATATACCTAAATAAGAGACTCTTTAAGGAAATCCAGTCTGAAGTTGTTTACTGAACTGCTAAGAGTATCAAGGAAGAAAACACCCTTATTGAGTTCCCACGGGTCTGAGACTGTTTCCTCTCTAATGAGATTCCACAGCTGATCAAGACCGTAAGAGGAAATGCCCACAATGGCCACCAGCATAGGTCAGATCTTACCACAGTGGACTCAAGGGAGTCAGTTCCATTATATCTGTATTTAATTTACATGACTTCAGCGATAGGTACTTGGCAAAAAGAGTGGGGTGGTGGTGGAAATAACTTTTAAACACAGTGGGCAGTTTCATTCAGGTCCCATTCAATGAGAGTATGTCCTGGGATGAAAAGTAGAAAGGAGGCATGAATCTGCTTTTCCCTCAGTCTGATTATGTTCCAAAGTCTCTCTTATGGTGTGTGTACCTTTCTGTGTTGGTTAGAGTCTAACATTAAAAGATGTGATGGGATTCGAGGCGGGGGTGTTGTATAGCACAGCTCCTAATTATAGTGACTTAACTGTATTATTCTGGGGCATTAAAATATTGTTATATTGCTTATTACTTGAAAGAAATGGATCATTCAACTAGAGTGTTAGAGATGTTTTAGTTATATAGCAGTTTCGATTGTAATAGAATAATAATAGATCTAAAGTAATGCTTTGGAATTTAGTATTTATAAATCATCCTCATGGCTAAATTCAACAATTATGGAATTACTTTCTGTCATTGTCCCTAAAATGTGTCGTATATGGGAGTTTTACATTGTTTGGAGGAAAGAAAATAAAATCCATGTGCTCTACAAGAGATTTGAAGTAACAGATATGTTTCACCCATGAGAATTTCTTTGACTATGATAAAAATTATTTTAAAAATTCTAATAACTTTTATCCTGATGATCAAAATAATACAAGACAGTTTAGAAAACACAGAAAAGCACAAAGATGAAAATAAAAGTTCACCTATAATCTCACCACCCAGAGAAAACAAATTTAACTTTTTGGTATATATTTTTCTCTTCTTTATTTATATATATAATGTGATTATGTGCTTTTGTTTGTTTGTTTAACAGAATTGGGACTATACTGCTAATAGTTTTATACCTTGCTGCTCTCCCTTAATATCATCCTATCAGCATTGTTGCCTGTGTATTAGTCAGTGTCACAGCAGGAAACAAATGGTGCACTCAGCTGGGATATTGTTACTAAAGCGACTATTCACAGAAATGGGGGCAAAGTGAAAGGAACCAACAGAAGATTCTGAAGCATCCCAACACTAGTGGATAATTGTTACCACCTTAAAACTCACTTGAGAGCTATGCTGTAGATGAAGGGCTGCCCCACAGTCATAGAGGGCCACAGTCACTGCCAGGACCACACTGAAGCAGGGAGAGCAGGAGGACTAGTTATTACTCAGACTTCTCTCTCCTCTACCTCTCCAACTTCCTGCTGCATCTCCTGTTGGCTGAACCCAACAGGAAGCCAGAGGGCCAGGGAGCCTGGGTGATAAGTCTCTAGAGGTCAGTCTCCCAAGCCATCGAGAGGGGAAGAGAAGAGCAGAGAATGGATCTGGGAGGCCAATAGAGATCAGTCAGCACTAATGACAGTAAATATTCATCAGAACACTTTTAATGATGCCATGATAATCCAACACACGGAAGAACCTCAGTTCACTTCTGAGGTTCTTATTGATCATTCTCTTAATTGCTCATTTAGGTTGGGGTCACTATTTTGGTATTTTAAATAGCAGAAAAAGCATCCTTGAACAGAAGTAGAACTACTGAGTCAAATAGTCTGAATATTTTTTTAAGCCCCTGAAATATACTCCAGAAAAGTTGCACAATTTAACGCTCCTAACTCATAGTGGAAGAGAGTGCCAGTGTTCTCACACCCTTATAAGTGCCAAAAATTAAGATGTTTTCAAATCTTTATTACCAGTAAGACTGGGCAGTGTTAGGGTTATTTTTTTCAAGGAGAAATTTCTCTTTTATTTTTAAGGTAAATGTCATTGAATTCTATCTTCTTTTGAAAAAAATTAGAATCTCACAGTTGAGGAAGCAGGAAGTTTTATAACTGCATTTTCACATTTTGTGAACATATGATTAGATCAGTAGGAAGGGATGAGATGCTTTTTGGTTTCTTGAGGCAACCAGGGCTTTCTTTGGGCAGGAACCATGTTTTAACATTCACTTTTGAACCCTTCCACAAGCACAACATACAAATTTCCATGCAGAATTTTCTTAACTGAGAGAAACAATTAGGGAACCAGCTTTTTCTACCGATGATCCTGAATGAGCTCTACAGATCAGGAAATTCCAAGCTAAGCAGAGAGGCCACTCAGCAGCCTTCTCTGTGAGTATCAGAGTCATCATAGTTAATAGGACTGATTACTGGCTCACTGTTGGAATCGTCTCTTCCTGTTTCTGGTGGTCAGAGAATTTAAACAGATGATAGTCAAGGTAAGGTCAATAGGAAAAGGACTCATTGTATGCGGGTTTGTTTGGGTCATGTCCAGGCTTTCCTTCCCCCTTTTCTTTGTCTTAAGATGTGCAGTTTCCAGTTCAGGAAGCAAATGAGAAGTCCCAGCCTGACTAGTTCCTGTTCCTCTTCCTCAGAACCACAAGCAGCAGTGGAGGGCTGACCATCAGCAGCCTCCTCAAGGAAAAGGAGGGCTCAGAAGTAGCCAAGTTCACTCTAGAGGAGCTCTGCCTCATCTGCAGCATCCTGAGCACAGCAGAGTACTGTCTGGCCACCACCCAGCAGGTGAGCCGCCCTGGCTGCCCACTCACCACCTCCTTTTCCTGAACCATCTGGGCCACCTAGCTCAGTAGCTAAGAGTATGGGTCCTAACAAGGCCACATACAACCTTGGGCAGACCGGTTGGCCTCCCATAGAGGAAAACTGGCTGGCCAGCCAGAAGACGGCCCAGGCAGCCATCTTATAAAAGGGCCTTGTTAAAAGGAGCCTGGGCAAGAAATATGACTGATCTCCTCCCAAGAATTCTGTAAGCCACTCAAAGGGCATGCCCTCCTGAAAATAGGTCAGTAGCATCGTCTCCTGTATGAGGAAAGCAGTGACAAACTTAATGGTACTAGGACCCAGCCTTTGGTAGTGATGAGTCACAACCAGTTATTCCATTCTCAGAAGTGTTACTAGGCTAAGCAAAATCCTTTGGGCTTTTAGGTATCTCCTGAAATTTACGTAGCATTCTCAATCTGCCTTGTTTGGATCCTAACCAATCCTAACCATTGTTTGGATGCTGACGTCCAGGAACTGGGAAGCAGGAAAGAGGGATGCCTCTACTGGATCTCCCCATTAGCAGAAGGAAGACCCAGAATAATTTTCCATTCAGCCTTAGATGTGGGATTAGAAGTTCCTTTTCACATTTGGTCTGGAATTCACCTAAGGCCAAGAGAAAGAAAATAATTGGTGAAGGTTCTGTTCTTCCCCCTTTTTTTGGTTTATATTTACACATGTCTAGATCATAGGAAAGCAGTCATAAATTATGGTTCAGACAGTACAGCTTGGAGCACCTGTGAGCCAGAGCAACAATACAGGAAGCCAAATAAAAAGTATTCCCCCAAAAACTTCACAGTTGCGGTTAAGCTAGCCAGAGGCGGAGGCAACAGCATGCTCTGCTTGGGGTCGTGGTCACATGAGTCATACAGGGAATGAGCTATAAAGGTTTGGCCTTGAAGCCAGAGACAGCAAGCCATTTAGCCCCAAGAACTCCCAGAGCAGGACAACAATATCTCTGAGGACCTCCAAGCCACGAGTCCCAGAGTTCTTTGATGAGGAAACACTGTTTAACTATTTTGTGTGTGTGCAGAAAGAGAAAGACACAGAAACATATAAATATAGTATTTTAAAAGGAAAATAACAGTGGTACCAAAAAAAAAAAGACTAAAAATAATGACTGAATCCTATCACCCTCAAATAATCATATTAGCAATTTTGAGTTTTTTCTTTCCATCGTTTTTCATCAACATACTTTTATATGCTGTAATCTTAACTTAATTCACTTTCATATCCTTTTGCTGTTGATAACATCATAGCATCAGCATTTGTCCTGTTGCTACAATGTCTTTGTAGCAACGTCATCATTATGGCTATATAATATTCCATTAAGGGACTGTATCATAAATTATTTATCAGTATCCTTGATAATTCTTTATCCTGCTTCAAGTTTTTGCTTTTATAAGTAATCCTACAAAGAACATTTAATATGTTTTGCATTATTTTTCTAGAACAGATTCTTAGGAGTTCTAGAAGTATTAGTAGATCAGAGACCATTTTGATGACTCATGGTAGATGTAGCCAATTTTTTGTTATTTAGTGAAAATTATTTTTACTGATTATGAAAGTAAATATTCTTAGCACCTATATTGTGATCTCTAAATATCATTTTCCACTAAAAGGAACCAGAGATTCCTAGAAAAATGACTAATTCCAAGTCTGGGGGAGGAAATGTACAGGTGGAGCCTGGAACATCATGTCATACAAAAAGCAAGAAAGATATCAAAGACTGTGAGATCATTTCAGAAGGATTCAGGAGCTGTAGAAGGTTTATTATACAAAAAGATTTTATGTCCAAGTCCTAACCCCCAGTACCTGTAAATGTGATCTTATTTGGAAATACAGTTATGTGCCTCATAAGGACATTTCAGTCAATGGCAGATCATATATACGACAGTGGTCCCATAAGATTAGTACCATATAGCCTAGGTAGATAGTAGGCTATAACATCTAGGTTTGTATAAGTACACTCTGTGATGTTCGCACAATGACGAAATCACCTAATGACACATTTCGCAGCATGTGTCCCCATTGTTAAGCAACACATGACGGTAGGGTCTTTGAAGATGTAATTAAGTAAGGATCTCAAGAGGAGATCATCTTGTACTTAGGGTGAGCCCTAAATCCAATAACTAGTGTCCTTAGAAAGGAGAGGGAGATTTCGACCCAGGGAATAAGGCCGTGTGAGGATGGAGGCAGAGATTGGAGTGATGCGTCTACAAGCTAAGGAACACCAAGGATTGCCAGCAACATCCAGAAGATAGAAGAAAGACATGGAACAGTTTCTCCCTCAGAACCTGCAGAGGGAACCAACCCTGCTAACACCTTGATTTCAGACTTCTGGCCTCCAGAACTGTGAGAGAATGCATTTCTGTTTTAAGCAACCAAGTTTGTAGTAGTCATGCACTGCATGAGGGCGTTTCAGTCAACGACAGACTGCATATATGACGGTGGTCCCATAAGATTAGTACGATATAGCCTAGGTGTGTAGTAGGCTACACCATCTAGATTTGTGTAGGTACACTCTGTGATGTTTGCACCACAAAATTGCCTAATGACGTGTTTGTTAGAAAGTATTCCTGTCATTAAGTGATGCATGCCTATGATCTGTTACGCAGCTGTAGGAAACTAGTACAGGAGCCAACCTGAATAAGCTCTACTGGTCAAAGATGGGACATACAAACATCAGTAAGAATATTAACTATAGTGGATTGAAAACATCAAATATGTTTAAATCCATTTGGTTATAATGATTTTTTTAAATTCAGTTATCACCTTTGAAGATACTAAGGAACCACTGGTATGAATCGAATACTGGTAAATAAAGGGAAAGGTCTTATACTGCCTTTCCTATCTGACTCGTACCTCAGGATAACCAAACCATTGACAATGAGAAGTATCTCTTTATAGCAGAATTTTAGCTAATAAATGAAGAAGAAAAGATAGAATATCATTCTTTTATACCTCCTAATGGAATAATGGATCAGAGCAGTGACCCTCAATGGCTGCTAACGTTACAAAAAGAGAGACAAGCAAACATGCATCTCCTGATAGAAGCAGTGTGCTCCATCGTGAAGTAGTGTTCTAACAAAAAAAGGAACCTGAACCTAATCAAGCTTCTACATCAAACTACGATTTACAGGAAATACAAGGAACAGAGGAACATGTTGTACCTTGTGGATACAATCAACAAAATCAAAACTGTGGGAAAATCTCCAGTGCAAACAACCCAGTTTCGTTAAGAAAAAATTGCAGGGGTGATGGGGCGTGAGAAGAAATGGAGGGAGAAACCAAAGAGACTTAAGAATCCAAGCAATGAAGAATTAGAAAATAGAATTTAAAAAACAATGCCACTAATGTATCAATATTGGTTCACTAATTGTAACACTTTTACACTTAACACTTGCATAGGGTGTTCCATTTACTTGTTCTTTATGAAGCGCTTATTATGTACCAGGCACTGTATTTGGTGTTAACTAACCGTGGTGAACAAAGTTTCTGTCTGTCATGGAACTTAGACTAATGGGGGAGCCAGATAAATAAGTAAGCCAAGATGTAACTTCAGTTCTGTAGTAAGTGCTAGGAAGGAAACAAATATTGCAGTGCTAGTTGGGGAGTTGCCTACTGAAGTAGTGGCAAGTGGTCAAGGAGGGCCTCTCTGAGGAGGTGCTATTGAAGCAGAGGCCTGAGGGGTGGGAAGGAGACTGCCACGTGAGGAGCTTGGAGGGGTTGGGAGCTGGGGGACAGCAGAGCAAGGATGCTGGTTAGGAGGAGTGAGCAGGGAGTGTCTGAGGGAGAGGAAGTAGGAAGTGTGAAGTGTGAGAGGGAAAAGACCTTGGTGTCTCCAGGACTTGAACCTGTCAGTATAACAAGCCAAGCAGGCAAGGGGCAAAGCAGGATGTGGGCCTGAGAGCTAGACAGGACCCAAGTCATGGTTAGAAGTTTGGATTTTATTTTCAGTGTAATAGGAAGAGGCTGTGGAAGAGTTTAAGCATTGTAAGCCTGTGCTGTAATTTGTTTCATCAATCCCTTTTAAATATACATGTAGGGTTGGCCCCGTGGCTTAGCGGTTAGGCGCACGCGCTATGCTGCTGGCAACCCGGGTTCAGATCCCGGGCGTGCACCGACGCACCGCTTCTCTGGCCATGCTGAGGCCGCGTCCCACATACAGCAACTAGAAGGATGTGCAGCTATGACATACAACTATCTACTGTGGCTTTGGGGGGAAAATAAATAAATAAATAAAATTATAAAAATATATATATATACACATGTAGATTGTTTCCAGTTTTTCAATAATATAAACAGCACTAGAATGTGAGCTTTATGAGAACAGAATCTTATCTGTTTTATTCACTGAGTAACTGCCTTACTCTGTTACAGAGCCTGGTACAAAATAGGCTTCAGTAAATACTGGTTGAATTAATGAATGCTGCAAAGAATACTTGCATATCTTTGTACATTGTTCTCATTATTTCATTGAAATGCTTTTCTAGATTTGAAATTGCTGACTTAAAGAGTATGTATATTTAAATTTTTGCTTTTTAAATAAATCGTCTTCCAAAAAGTTTATGCTAATTTATACACCCCTAAGAGCATTTTTAAATTTAAGACAAATGAGTGTGTGTGATAAATGGGTTTGGGAGTGCTAGATTAATCAATTCCCCGGTGTTTGGAGATATTTACAATTCCTGGTCAGTAGTATTTTTCTTTGAGGCAGCTGGGAGCATGGCCAGTGTTTCTCTCCTAGGCTATAGGCCGATGACCACGGCAGAGACTGTTTCTTTTGTTTACCTCAGTATCCCCAACACCTTAACACAGTGGGTGGCCCATAGTAGCACTCAGTGAATACTTGAGCTGATTTTACTGCCATCCACCATCAGAGGCTTCCAATGTTGGTGAGCAAGCCTGAAGTTCACTGTGTAGGGAGTATCCTAAAAATCAGGGTCTTTTTAAAATTAGTGAAATGAATTGTCACTGTGTCATAAGAAACAAGTATAGCCCAGTGCTAAAGGGCCCAGGTTCTGGAGGAAGTTTGATTCTCGGCCCTACCACTTACTATCTTGGATAGGTCCCTCCTCCATTGTCTCATATGTAAAATGGGGATAATAATAGAATCTTCCTCAAAGGGTTGTGAGAATTAAATGAGTCAATACATGAAAAGTGCCTAGAATTGTACCTGAATCATCAAACGCAGTAAATGTTAAGTGTTATTATTATGGCACACCTTTGGATAATGATTAAATATGTTTTTTTCTCTCTTATTTTCTAATAGCTAGAAGAAAAACTCAAAGAAAAAGTCGATGTAAGCCTGATTGAACGAATCAATCTGACTGGAGAAATGGACACGTTCAGCACGTACGTACCTTGCACGTGTTTGCTCAAAGCCTACCCTTTAACCTTCACAAAGCAGCATGTCTCAGGCTGTTGGCTTTAGGTCACTACAGAACCTAAGAGGTTTCCAGGACCTTCTCTTAGATCAGGATTATTCTCCACTAGCCACTAAGAAGCATTAGAAGTTGGTGCAGCTGCCTGCCGTTCTGCCTCCTCAGATGCAGTTGTTTTTAGTGTATGGGGTCTTGATTGTTGCGCTGTCTAGAATAAGAGAAGAAATCCTCCCTTGGCCATCCCTGTAGGAAGGGCAGGTCCAAGGCCTGCCTTCTGTCTGCCCCCTTAAATCCACAGAGGGCCAGCCCCACTTGCAGTGTTTTAGAATATAAAGTGTAAGCAGCCTGCTTTTAGCGATGTCGGGGGCGGGAGGGGGGTGTGTGTTTGGAGTGGGAGGGGGTCTGTCCAAGAAGTTCAAACTGTAAAGCCTTCTTGCTGTCACCTTGCGGTGTTTGTGTATTTTTGTTGTGGTCGTGAAATGAGATTGGGGCCAGCTGAGCTTCAGCGTGCACGTCAAGCACTTACTGAGGGAAAATCAAAATCCTCAGGTCATTTCCTCTCCTTTTCTCAACTTTTTTTTCACAAGTCCTGATTTAAACATTCTGGGCAAGCAGGTACTTTTGGAGGAGGAAGCAAAGAGGGATTCTGGGCGTGGTGCTTAGGGAGACTAGCCATGGAATTTTGTCTTGAGTGGAGACACACCCAAATAAGACCAGGACACGCAGCAGGAATGAAGAAAAGCCAAAACGCTCCTCGATGTCATTAATTCCTTTTGAAATAAAATGAGCTTTTCTGATGAAATGATGAATCTAATTTTTACGCAGGTGCCTAAAACCTTTGGAAGGGGCTGTATCGGTCATTCAAAAAGTCAATTTTTTAAGTGGTGACCACAGTATTTGTCTGATTTGCAGTGTCATCTCTAGCAGCATTCAGTTGCTGGTGCAGGATCTGGATGCCGCCTGCGATCCTGCCCTGACTGCCATGAGCAAGGTAAGGTTTTAGGAAGTGGCTTCTTCCTGGACTTCCAAGAGTGACCCCAGATGGTTTCTATCAGCCCTTGCCTGTAGCTTCTTCAGGGCTTGAAGTATCAGCTGGGAGGAGAATGGAAGACCTCCAGGAGTTTCCTGAAGCGCTCAGTGTATCTTGCACCTTAGGTCAATTGCTTGTCCTTTGAGAATGAGACAGGGAGCAGGTGTGTTGGGTAAGTCTAAAGGAGGTGTTGTCTTTGATTAGCATCTGACACCTGCTGAAAACCTTAATGTGGTCTTGCCAGAGTGGGTGTTTTTGTCAGTGCTTACAGTAGTAACTTCTGACTCATCTTCATTCTTGCCCACTGAGAGGGTTTTTTGACTCTTTCTGACTTGTGGTGCCAATGCAGGATTATATGATCAGATTGTGGACCCCGGTTTTCTAATATCATGATAGCCCATCAGTCCCCTCCTTTGGCACTTGCCACATGCTGCCTTCCGTTGCTATTTGGCTTTTATGTGCCTGTGTGTTTTCTTCTCAAAAGAATGTAAATTCCTTAAGTGCATAGACCATGTAGAATATAGAAGACTCTTATGTTAGTTGGAAATAGGCAGTTCTTTATTGATTTATAAACCAAATAACATGAAGCTGCCCACTCTAGAACCTTCTAGAGCAGAGGTCAGCAAACTACAGCCTGTGGGCCAAATCTGGCCCACTGCCTGTTTTTGTAAATAAAGTTTTATTGGAACACAGCCGTGTTCATTCATTTATATATTATCTATCTATGAGTGCTTTTGTGCTACAATGGTAGAATTAAGTAATTGTAACTGAGACCGTATGGCTCGCAAAGCCTAAAATATTTACTATCTGGCCCTTTACAGAAAAAGTTTACCAATGCCTGTTCTAGGGTCATAGACTCTTGTGGCATCCTTACAAATTCTGGAGAAAAACTTCCCTGGGGCATAGTGGCCAGTAGCAGAGTATAGTGGAAAGAACCACTGGCCTTGGAGTCAGATACACCTAACTTTTCTCCTTTTTCCTTTGGAGGTGTTGAGCAAATGACTTAACTTCTCTGGGCCCAAGTTACCTCGTTGGTATGTGAACTGGGGATACCTGCCTCCCAGGGTGTTGTGAGGGTGGAGCATGTGGAGAGTGCCTGGCCTGGCGCCGATAAATGCAGGTCCTCTTTCCCTCTTGTCAGGAGAAGGGGCCATGCCACAAGGTTGTGTAAGCAGACATTTGGTCTGAATTTGGTTTTGTAGTAGATTGTAAATATTTAACAAAAATAGGATTAAAACCAAAACTTAAGCATCAGGATTTTATGAAGCTAAGTGGGGAGTCTGAGTAGCTGATGTCACAAAGTTTCTATTCAAAAGGCCGATCGTTTTGCCAAGCAGATGCGGATGTGTATTTCCAGTATTCTCAATGTTCACAAGCAGAACACTCTGAGCAGGCAAACTGAGTCTAACCCATTTTCTTAAAGGAACATGGCTCTGAAGATTCGTTCTTGGGCTCTGATTATCCCCTAGCTGCTGGTGAATGTTCACTGCATCCTGAATATGATCTGTTCCAGCTGCCATCTCTCCTGAACTGCCACACATTTCAGATTGGAATGCAGCTGGTGAAAGAATTTTTACATTTACCAAAGGAAGAGTGGATTTTTTTTTCAGTAAAATAACAGTTGTATGGGGGTTTAGCACTCCAGGTGTTGCTTATATGAACTGTCAATTCATTAGGTGGATTTCCCTCAAACTCCCCCCACTCCCCCACCCATTTCTCCCCCAGACCCACACCAGCAAATATTAACAGAGACGGTACCTCCAGAGTCTTTTGTTTATATCACAGGAAAACCACAGACTTGGGAACGCAGCAGCTGGGAGGCCATTACTCTTTGTCTGAGTCTTCTGGAGTTCTAGAAAATAAAATCCATGTGATGAAAATGACCAGATATAAACAAGCCAAGCGGTCACAAATTGATTCAACGTACACTCTCTGTTATTTGTGTCTGCGTCCTGTTTTGTATAGTTTCTTTTAGGATTTGTAAAAACTTTTGTTTTGTGATCATGCTTATTTCCGTCTGATTGCATCATTTTTGCTGCTAGTTGAATAGTTCAGTTCAAACTCTACCCAGCACAGTGCTGGGAGTTGCAAGACTGGGAAAGACACGGACTTTATCCCCAGGTGCCTAGATTCCAGAAAGTAAGGGGTAAGAGAGGTGTGAGATGAGAGGAATGCCCAAATAACTGCAGTATGAGGTATGAGGAAATCAGTACCATAAGAAAAGTGCGAAATACTCCCTCTTTAAAAGAGGAGAGAGTTCATATCAGGTGGGGAAGCAAAGACAGCCGTTGTAAGGAAGTAGCATTTGAAATAGACCACGAAGTATGGCAAAGTTTTGAACAAGTTTGTGATTAGGAGGGCATTCCGAACAGGGTGACAATATGAGCAAAGGTTTATAAAATTAGGAAAGCTCAGAGCTTTGTCAAAATTGCCAGTCTCATCACACATCTTTGGAATTCCACAGGGTACTCTGTACTTGCACTTACATAGTCAAGATTGGAAACAGGGCTGCTTGCCAGGGGCTTATATTCTGGTGCAGAGAAAACTTAGAATAATTGATGCTGCAAATAAATGTATTTTATAAATGGTGAGAAAATGAGTGTTGGGCTTGCCGAAGTGGAGTGGAGTTGTTAGATGATTCTGAGTTGATGGAAGGAGGTTTCTTTGACAAGATAGATTGAGCTAAGACCTCATTCTCATTAAGGCACCCCATGTCCTCCTTGGTTCACACACTGGGCTTTCATTATTTGTCCCTTCACTACCTTGTTTGTTCTGCCGCTCCTGTTTATATACCTGTACTCCAGCCTCAGCCACTTGCACTTTCCTGAATGCATTCCTTTTTCGTGGCTTCCGTGCCTTTTCTCATTCTATTCTATCTGCCTAGAATTCTCTTCCCACTATTGTCTCTCCAAGGAGCACATCCTTTAAGATCCAGTTCAAATGTCTGCCCTCTTTTTTTTTTTTTGTGAGGAAGATCAGCCCTGAGCTAACATCTATGCCAATCCTCCTCTTTTTGCTGAGGAAGACTGGCCCTGAGCTAACATCTGTGCTGATCTTCCTCCACTTTATGTGGGACGCTGCCACAGCATGGCCTGACAAGCGGTGCGTCGGTGCGCACCCAGGATCCGAACCCGGGTCACCAGCAGCGGAGCGCGCTCACTTAACCACTATGCCATGGGGCCGGCCCCTGTCTGCCCTCTTTTTAAAAAGTGAGATATAATTCACATACTGCAAAATTCACCCCTTTTGTGTGTGTGTGAGGAAGATCAGCCCTGAGCTAACATCTGATGCCAATCCTCCTCTTTTTTTTGCTGAGGAAGATTGGCCCTGAGCTAACATCCATGCCCATCTTCCTCCACTTTATATGGGATACCGCCACAGCATGGCTTGACAAGCGGTGCGTCGGTGCGCGCCCGGGATCCAAACCTGCAAATCCGGGGCCGCCAAAGGGGAGCACACACTTAACCACTTGTGCCACTGGGCTGGCCCGAGTAAAATTCACCCTTTTAAAGTGTATAATTCAGTGGGTTTTGGTATGTTCACAAGGCCCACAACCACCACCATTAGAAGATGTTCTAATTCCAGAACATCTTCATCACACCAAAAAGAAACCTCATACTCATTAGCAGTCACTCTCCGTTTCCCTGACAATCACTAATCTACTTTCTGTCTCTGTGGATTTGCCTGTTCTGGACATTTTGCGTAAATGGAATCGTATAATATGTGGCCTTTTCTGACTGGCTTTCTTCACTTAGCCTAATGTTTTCAGTGTTCATGCACGAGATAGTATGTATCAGTACTTCTTTCCTTTTGATAGCTGAATAATATTCCATTGTGTGGTTATGCCACATTTGGTTTATCCATTCATCAGTTGATGGACATTTGTGTTGTGTCCACTTTTTAACTATTATGAATAATGCTATGAATATTCATGTACAAGTTTTTTGTGAATATGTTTTCAATTCTTTTGTGTATATAGCTAGGAGTGGAACTTCTGGGTCATGTGGTAGCTCTATGTTTAACATTTTGAGGAACTGCCAAACTGTTTTCCACAGTAGCTGCACCATTTTACATTCCCACAGCAATGTATGAGGGTCCCAATTTTCCATATCCTCACCAACACTTTTTTTTTAAATCATAGCCATTCTAGTGGCTGTAAAGTGGTATCTCATTGTAATTTCAATTTGTATTTACATTTCCCTGATGACTAAGATATTGAACATCTTTTCATGTTCTTATTGGCTATTTGTGTATCTTCTTCGAAGAAACGTCAGTTCTCATCCTGTGCCCATTATTAAATTGGGTTGTCTTTCTATTGTTGAGTTGTAAAAGTTCTTATTATAATCTGGCTACTAGACCCCTTGTCAAATATATGATTTGCAAATATTTTCTCCCTTTCTGTGGGTTTTCTTTTCTCTTTCTTAATCATGTCCTTTGAAGCACTAAAGTTTTTAATTTTGATGAAGTCTAATTTTTATATTTTTTCTTTTAATGCTTATGCTTTTGGTGTCATATCTAATTTACACCTGTATTTTCTTCTAAGCATTTTATAGTGTTAGCTCTTACATTTAGGCTTTGAATCCATTTTGAGTTAATTTTTGTATATGGTGTGAGGTAAGGATTCAACTTCATTCTTTTTTTCTTTCTTTCTTTCTTTTTTTTTTTTTTTGCTGAGGAAGATTCACCCTGAGCTAACATCTCTTGCCAATCTTCCTCTTTTTGCTTGAGGAAGATTCACCCTGAACTAACATCTGTGCCAATCTTCCTCTGTTTTGTATGTGAGTCGCCACCACAGCTTGGCTGCCAATGAGTGGTATTGGTCTGCTCTCGGGAACTGAACTCGGGCCACCGAAGCAGAATGCGCCAAACTTAACCACTAGGCCATGGGGCCAGCCCCTCAACTTCATTCTTTTGCATGTAGATATCCACCTGTCCCAGTACCATTTGTTATAAAGACTATT